GGGGGTTAAAAGGGGCAATTTTTTTTTTGGGGAAAAATTAAAAATTCCAATAATTTAAAATTTCTCCTTGAAACAAAAATTTTTGTTTTTTTAAAAATTCCTAACCCGGGCCCAAAAAAAGGGTTCGTTTTACTGGGCCCCCATATGAAAAAATTAGGGGCAATTTTTTTTCCCCATTAAAAAAAAAAAAACCTAAAAAATTTCCCAATAATAAACATAATTCTTTGTGCGTTGAAGGGGAAAAAAATTTTTTTTTTCCTTTAAAACAAATTTGGAAATGAACCCTTGAAAAGAATTTGTTTTTCACCCTGCCTAGTGGGGGGCGGCCGCTTTTTTAAAAAAAAAAAAAAAAATTTTTTTCCCCCAAAAAATTTGTGACTACCCCGGAAAAAACATAAATATTTTTGTGGACTGCCGAAGTTTAAAAAAATTTAATTTGTCATTTCCCCCAAATTTAAAAATTTTTAATAAAAACCTTTATAAAAAAGGGGTTAGGGTTTTTATGCTCCCCGTAAGCCGACCTTGTTAAAAAAAAATTAAAGGGTTGGGCAAAACCATAAAATTTTTTTGTTATACCCCCCCCTCCCCCTTTTTTTTTACAGAGGGGGAATGTCAGTGCCGCCCACCTTTGTCCTTAGAAAATATGTGGAAATTAAGCCACAGAACCCCCACATAAAATTTTTTTTTCAAACGAATTCATAAAAATTTTAAAAATTTGTGTTATTGGGATAATTTTATCGGGGGTCTTTTTATATTATAATTTTTCTTCTTAAAACCCGAAAAGGCATTTAGGAAATTAAAACCATAAACATTTTGGTTTGTATAACTTTTTTGGTTGAAAATGGGGTTATGTTGCCAAACTAGGGGAGTGGAGAGCTGGAGGGCAAGTGTGGGAATTAACAGGGAAACTGTTTGGGGTTAAGGGGGTGAGGTTCCAAAAATGTTTCCGATAAATTGTATTTTCATTGAAGGGGGGAAAGGAAAGATGATAAATTTACTCTTTTAAAGGAAAAGGGGGGGGTCCTAAAAGGTTAAAGGGGGGAAAAGGGTTTTTTAAGGGGGGTTAATTCCGAGGATTTTGGGAGGTGTTTGATAGGGTTTTAAAAAATTTTTTAAAAACCTATCTTTGGGGGTGAGCAAAGTAACATTTATGAAGGGGTTCAGGGAAACCGGCAGGCCGGACTTGAGTCCTGGAGATGGGAAGTACAGTGCCTGCACTCTGAAGGAAGGGTGTTAATGTTGCAGTTTAAAAACTGTAGTGTAAAGCACCCTTCTGGCAAGACAGTGATGGAGTGAATGATGGTGAAAGTTTTTCTTTTTCGGGCCACCCTGCCTTGGTGGGAATCGGCCAGTGTGATAATAAAAAAAAAAAAAAATTATCTATTCAACTACTTCATTAAAATAAGTTTCATTGAAAATTATTATCTCCCAAACTCTTCCTGAAACTGTTATGTTCTATGATATACATTTTTCTTGTTTTTATTTTTTTATATAATTTTTATGTTCTGATAATTACTATTTATAATAGTTCTTGTGATTTCATAGCCAATCTTTGTTCTGACACTAATATTAAGTACTGAAATAGTACTCAAATAGTCACAATCACACCAACATGTATACATTTTCACCTGCCTTGGTCATGTACTATTCTCTAGAAATATATACAAAGTATTTATAGGTCTCAGCAATGTTTCAGACATGCTGGAGTATATATGAAACTCCTTGAACCATGGCACTTATGACGAGTGTCAAACTGCTGACATTGCAGCAATGGAGTGACACTGATGATAGTGCACTGCTCCAGGGAACCCTGGCTTTATTTAGTTTCACTGTTACACACAAGCATGTCTACCTGTCTGTGTCTGTCTGTCTAGCTCTGCTTATCTGTCTTTCTGTCTGCCTGTGTGTGTGCTGTCTTTCCGTCTGCTTGTCTCTGTCTCAGAGAGTGGCTTGTAAACCAACAGGTATAACACACGATGCAAAGTAGTCACGTCTCATTCCTGATCAAGTAAAAAATTGAGAATTATTTGCCAGTCATGCTCATTATGCGTTATATCTACAAGCGCTATACAGCACTTTGCCTGGAATTTTTGGGTTATCTTGGGTAATTTACACTATGTATAATAACTGTACTTATGTGTACCTGAGAGAGAGAGACAGAGATATAGACAGACGGCCAGCCAAAGCAAGCAAGCAAGCCGGTCAGCCGTACAGCCATCCAACTGGTCGGCTGGTCGGCCAGCCTGCCAAATATGTATTACACACTCCAGAATCTTCTCTTTACTTAGGGCATAGGTGATAGGACATTCTGGCAGGACGACACTACCAGTGGTTTCAAAAATGAAAGGATATTGCACAAATGTTGCACATGGGTTACTATCAAAGTTTTTGATATTTCCTTAATCACTTGTGGCCACATCCATCTCAAAGCCACTAAACTCTGGGTCAACATTACTTTCCTCATAAAAGGGGTGTGTTAATACAACATAACATCAGAGAATCCCTGGTGTTTGCCGCACTATTTGCACTAGGTGGTGCTCAATTGAACCGAGTGCTCCCACAAAGTACTAAACAGTCCCAAATTTTTTTTTAACTCTTTCAGGGTCGGCAGGTCCTCTACTAAACTTGTTCTCAGGGTCTGAAGTGTTTTGGAAAAATAAAAAATTCTTATGACGTGATAGAGAATCTTTTCCCGATCGTAATGACACCAAAAGTATCAAATTTGATGGGAAACTTACGGAATTATGCTCTCGCAAGCAAAGTTAGCGGTCTCGATGATGTTTCCGCATCGACAATTTTGCCCACTGAGCTCTATTTTCGGCCAATTCCAATGTACCAGTCGACACAAATCATAACTATTTCACTAGAACTCCATTTTTTCTATTGAATGAGTACGAGAAACCACCCATTTACAGATTTCAACTATCCAATAAAGTGGTCAGATATTGGCAATTTTGCCAATTTCACACAAATTTCAGAAGATGCCAATTTCCAAACTGGGTCTAGAATAAACAAGACAGACATCCCTGGCACTAAAATAACATCTTTTCTGTTCATTAGTCACGTCCCCAGGCCTCTCTTACATTTCTGTTGCTGTTCACTTTGAAATTTTATTCTCACAAAAAAAATGAAGATTTACTGATATGCAGACTACTGCATTAGTGTAGAAATGGTATAAATAATATATCAGTGCACTTGTGAAAGAATATTAGACTCACCAGTTGATGTGTATTGGACGCTTAGCATGATTTGTTTACTTTTGAACCTTGGCAAAAATCAAACATTTCTGCTACTTTGAGCTCAATTTCAAGGTACTTTTCATTGTGAAACTAATCAAAATCATCTCAATTTCTGTAAGATGTCTTCCATTCTATAAAATGAGACCAGGAAAACTAGAATACAACTATAAAAATCATATGAAAATACACTGCAAAGTTGCTGTTTTAAAGCAAAAACAGTCAGAGTTTTTTTTTTTCTCATTATGCACTGTGTGCTGCACGATTTTTTATATACTGTGCACACTGACCACATAGACCCATTCTTTCATATGTAGGCCCACCAGCTTTCTTTTGCCAGATTTGAAGGCGTTAGCACGGCACCAACCCTGAAAGGGTTAATACTGTGCAACACGAGTGTTACGACCCATTCTATACTGACCAGGTATGATTGCATGCCAAATTTGAAGGCAGGAAAAATAAAACAGATCATGTTTGGAGTGCTAGCGGGACAAAGGGGATCTACATTTGAACAGTTTAAGGGTTAAAAGTGGTTTATGTTGGGGTTATTTAACCTTTCAGGGTCCGTCCCGTAGATCTACGGCTTTACGGTGATGGGCCAAACCGTAGATCTACGCCATGAGCTCAGCTCACTCTGATAAACTGTGAGTGTACATTTGGCCCTAGATATGAGAGAATACATCTATGTGGTATTGTTGCACCACATAAAACAGATCCCGCAGCACACTGTGTATGAGAGAAAAAAACTGAAATCATGATTTTTCGATTAAAACAGCGACTTTGCAGTGTTTTTTCGTATGGGTTTTTATAGTTGTATTTGTGATTTCTTGTCTCATTTGATAGAATGGAAGACATATTACAAAAATTAGAGATGATTTCATTGGTTTTAGCACAGGAAATGGCTTGAAACTGAGCTCAAAGTAGCGAAATGTTAAATTTTTGCCGATTATTCAAGAGTAAACAAACGACTCACACGTCTAATACACGTCAGCTGGTGGGTCTAATATACATTCACAAATATGGTGATGATATTTATACAATTATTACAGTATTGCATAACAGTAAATCTTCTATTTTTTGGTGTGAATAAAAATTCATTATGTGAATAAAAAATCAAAATGGAATTTATTTGTAAAGCCTCAAAACATAACTAATGAACAGAGGAAATGTTAGTTTAGTGCCAGGAATGCCTACATTGTTTATTCTGGACCCTATTTGAAATTGGAATATTTTGAACTTTGTGTTAAATTGGCCAAATTAACAATTTCCGATCACTTTATTTTGTAGTTAAAACAGTTGAGTTGGCGATTTCTTGTGCTCAATCGATAGAGTAGAAGTAATACTAGTGAAATAGCTAAGAATTTGGTTGATTGGAATAATGTAATTGGCCTAAAATGGGAGTCAAAGTCGGCAAAATCGCCGATTCGTAAACATCGCTGACACATCAAAATTCGCGAGAGCATAATTTCGTCAATTTTCCACCAAATTTCGTACTTTTTGTTTTATTACCTTCACAAAAAGATTCTCTATGATTTCATAAGAAAAAATAACAAATTTTTTTTGTGAAAATTCTTGGACACTGGTGCGTGACTCCAGATTTGGGCCTTGGACCCTGAAAGGGTTAAATGGTGAGGATAAGCCAAGATAAGAATTTTTAGCTGAAAATATTACAGAAGACTTGTATGCTGCAGTTTACAGCATGACAAATAACTTCTATAAAACATGAAGATGGTTGGCATTAAAAAAAAAAAATACTGGACTCACATATAGAAACTATCTTCTTCCATAGGTTTGCTAATCCACTGTCCTAAGCCTGCACGAGAAAAGGCTGATACGACAGCTCGTTTACTTATCTGAAAAAGAAAATGAAATTCTTAGAAATGTATAATGAAAAGTTGCTAGACAACAAACTACACCAAGTTTTAAAGCTACTGTACAACAACAAACTGCAATAATTTAAGTTTAAAGTACATCACTTTTCACTTCCAATGGTGCCCACCATAAGTGCAGAGTTCAAAGTTAAATTCAATAGGAAGTGGGCACATGCGATAAACAGAAAGACATCTTTTTGATCAGTACGACTATTTTACAGACTGTACATAAAATGGGAAGGAATGATGGGTTACCGGAGACAGTTTACAATACTTTTGAAGAAATGAAAATTATCATATAGGAATGTTTGAAGATGGCTGCTTACATGCAGTTCTGTAATGACCATGTTATAATTACAATGTAAATTGGGTATGCAGACCAGCAAACCTATGAATATTATAATGACAGAACTACATCTAAGTAGCCATTTTCAAACATTCCTATATGATCCTTTTCATTTCCACTGTGCTTACAAAGGGCCTGTATCATGTTTGTTGCCTTCTCATTTTTGTAGCCCCTAATCACACAGTCCATTCTCCTAATCAGTCAATATTTACTGTTGCCAAAATAGTCAGATGAGTGATTGTTATACGAGCCTTAAACAGGGATTATGTAACAGCACAGCAGAGTGCACTCTGGGGTACCCCATGTTCTGTTTGCAAATTAAACTTTTTATTAACTCTTTCATCATATATAATTTATTAGCATTGTGTATAGTACACATCACTAATTTGTATTAATAGATAATAATCTAACCTAAATAAAATAAATCAAGAAATTTGTTGATAACAGCTTTGAATTCAGGACAGGTTGAATCACACTGCTTGTCCTTCTAAACCCTAGACATTCTCCACAATTTCAAGCAGCATTTCACAATTATGCCCATGGTTTCCAGCTTTCGTAATTTAAGTCCATCAATTAATTACCCCCTCCCTCTCCAACCATTTATCTTTAAAGGTGCCTGCCCTAAAGTTAAAACTACCGTATTTTTAGTTTGTGCAACGATATGCAAACTGCATCTGAAATAAGATACATGTACTCAAAATAACATAGAATCAGCATTTTTTAAATGACGCTGTGAAAGCATTTGAATTTAAATTCTATAAATTTTATCTGCACACCTTTGACAAGATGGTAAGAGAGTGAATGATGGTAAAAGTCTTTTCATTTTTGGGGTCACCTTACTCAGTGGTAGATGGCCAGAATGTTAAAAAAAAATTGTAAAGCATTTATTTTAATTTCAACTTACTTGATAATCAGTAGAAAGTGCTTTGATTTCGCCATATGAGAGGCACTTAGCTGCTCCTGGATCCACCTCAGTTATGGTGGGGAGCCTATCCAGAAGATCAATAAATCTTATCAGGTACCTTCTCTTGCACAAGCGGGAGTAGCTTTCACCTTCTTGTCGTCCAGTCATTGCATTTAAAACCTCAACTTGGTTTTCCTCTGTACAAAAACAAGCATGTTTCATAAGGCATGCTTTATATGACATACAATAAACAAATACTGTTAATTACACATTATTTACAACAAACAGAAGACTAGATAAGGAACACTGACCGCAATCCCAGTTGAGTGAAATGGTGGGTGCCTTCTGTGGCTGACGTGATTCAGTAGAGCTTCCCTGATTCATTTTTGGCTGGTTTAGTTTATATGGGGGTGGCAAACCCTCTACAGTTTGCTCTATCCTTCCACAAACCGCTCTGGAACAAAGTAAACATGAAACATTTCATCAGTCATAACATATTAGGAACTGGAAAATTCACTAATACTATACAGTAGGGCCCCGCTTTACAGCGTTTCACCCGACGGCGTTCTGTTAATATGGCGATTTCAAATTATCACCAAAACTTTCTATATGGCAAGTGGTCTTTCAAATGCGGCACATTCTGTTTACATTCTCTGTAAACACATCTCTATTATGTAATAATCATTCTTGGTCACACTGTCTTATTTTACGTTAATATAGACATTGCCTTTAATCTATCTATGATATTTTCCTCAAAATTATGTAAGAAACACATTACATAGTACATAAACACTATGTTTATATACTATGGAGATGTGATAGTCGGGTGGAGGGAAAACATCATGTCACTCAGCATCAATGATTCATTACTTCTCCCTTTATTTATGATGGTATCTAAAGGTAGTTGATAGAAACGATTAAACTCAGTGAACATGGTATGTCGATGGTAATAATATGGTTCTGGGTCACACTAAATATTGTGTCGCTATGCAGGCAGGTGTAGGTATGTAGCCCAGGTGGACTACATACCTACATTATTATTGTAACTGATAATTATACTTATCTGTACTTGTACCTAAGTAAACTTACACACTGTGCTGGCTTGCTGGTACACATTAAAATCACTAAGAGTGTCTTATTAGTCTTGAAGACGCCATATTAATAATGATAATAACGATAATAATAATGATAATAATAACAAAATAATAATAATCATTAAATATTGTATAAAACGTTAACCCTTTCAGGGTCGGCAGGTCCTCTCCTAAACATGTTCTCAGGGTTGGAAATTTTTCGGAAAAAAAAAAAAAAAATCTTATGAAATGATAGAGAATTTTTTCCTGATCATAATGACGCCAAAAGTATGAAATTTGATGAAAAACTTGCGGAATTATGCTCTCACGAAGTTAGTGGTCTCGACGATGTTTACGCAATGGAGATTTTGCCCACTTTGCGCCCTATTTTCGGCTAATTCCAATGTACCAGTCGACAAAAATCCTAACTATTTCACTATAACTCCATTTTTTCTATCGAATGAGTACAAGAAAGGACCCATTTACCAATTTCAACTATTCAATAAATTGGTCAGATATTGGCAATTTTGCCAATTTCACACAGATTTCAAAAGATGCCAATTTCTAAATAGGGTCCAGAATAAACAACAGACATTCCTGGCACTAAAATAACATTTTTTTCTGTTTATTAGTCATGTCCCCAGGCCTCTCTTACATTTCTTTTGCTTTCCACTTTGAATCTTTATTCTCAAAAAAAAAAAAAAAATACTGTTATGCAGACTACTGAATTAGTGTAGAAATACTATAAATAATATCAGCGTACTTGTGAAATAATATTAGACTCACCAGTTGACGTGTATTGGATGCGTGGCATGATTTATTTACTTTTGGCAAAAATCGAACATTTCTGCTACTTTGAGCTCAATTTCAAAGTACTTTTCATTGTGAAACCAATCAAAATCATCTCAATTTCTGTAATATGTCTTCTATTCTATTCTATAAAATGAGACCAGGAAAACTAGAATACAACCATCAATACCATATGAAAATACACTGCAAAGTTGCTGTGTAAAAACAAAAACACAGTCAGTTTTTTTTTTTCATTATCCACTGTGTTGCAGGATTTTTTTTATACTGTGCACACTAACCACATATAGTCCCCTTATATAAAAAGAAGGGGGACAAAAGAGATTGTAAAAATTATAGAGGAATAAGTTTACTGAGTATACCAGGAAAAGTGTACGGCAGGGTTATTATTGAAAGAATTAGATGTAAGACAAAATGCAGGATTGCGGATGAGCAAGGAGGTTTTAGAGTGGGTAGGGGATGTGTAGATCAAGTGTTTACATTGAAGAATATATGTGAACTGTATTTAGATAAAGGTAGGGAAGTTTTTATTGCATTTATGGATTTAGAAAAGACGTATGATATAGCGGATAGGGGAGCAATGTGGCAGATGTTGCAAATACGTATATGGAATAGATGGTAAGTTACTAAATGCTGTAAAGAGTTTTTATAAGGATACTGAGGCTCAGGTTAGGGTGTGTAGAAGAGAGGGAGACTACTTACCGGTAAAAATAGGTATTACACAGGGATGTGTAATGTCACCATGGCTGTTTAATATATTTGTAGATGGGGTTGTAAAAGAAGTAAATGCTAGGGTGTTCAGGAGAGGGGTGGGATTAAATTATGGGGAATCAAATACAAAATGGGAACTGACACAGTTATTTTTTGCTGATGATACTGTGCTTATGGGAGATTCTAATGAAAAATTTCAAAGGTTAGTGGACGAGTTTGGGAGTGTGTGTAAAGGTAGAAAGTTGAAAGTGAACATAGAAAAAGAGTAAGGTGATGAGGGTATCAAATAATTTAGATAAAGAAAAATTGGATATCAAATTGGGGAGAAGTAGTATGGAAGTGAATGTTTTCAGATATTTGGGAATTGACGTGTCAGCGGATGGATTTATGAAGGATGAGGTAAATCATTCTCCATGGGGAAGTGGAACAGAATTCTTCCTCTGTAAGCCATGCATGTCGTAAGAGGCGAATAAGATGCCGGGAGCAAGGGGCTAGTAACCCCTTCTCTCGTATATATTACTAAATTTAAAAGAACAAACGTCCATTTTTCCTTTTGGGAAACGCCACCTCAGTGGGATACGGCTGGTACGTTGAAAGAAGAAGAGGAGGTTAATCATAGAACTGATGAGGGAAAAAAGGTGAGTGGTGCGTTGAGGTATATGTGGAGACAAAAAACGTTATCTATGGAGGCAAAGAAGGGAATGTATGAAAGATAGTAGTACCAACACTCTTATATGGGTGTGAAGCTTGGGTTGTAAATGCTGCAGCAAGGAGGCAGTTTGGAGGCAGTGGAGATGTCCTGTCTAAGGAAAACGTGTGGTGTAAATATTATGCAGATAATTCGGAGTGTGAAAATTAGGAGAAAGTGTGGAATTAATAAAAGTATTAGTCAGAGGGCTGAAGAGGGGTTCTTGAGGTGGTTTGGTCATTTAGAGAGAATGGATCAAAGTAGAATGACATGGAGAACGTATAAATCTGTAGAGGAAGGAAGGCGGGGTAGGGGTTGTCCTTGTAAAGAAGGAAGGGGTAAAGGAGGTTTTGTGGGCGAGAGGCTTGGACTTCCAACAAGTGTGACTTCGTAGAGTAATTACTGCTCACCTTTTGCCCTACATTAAAACTACAAATATTTTGAGGTAAATAATGAGTGTACTATGTGTGTATTTTACTTTTTAATGCCTAGTTCTATTGCTAACTTAATATATGTTAGTGTAAACTTGTTATCTGGCATTTATAAATGGAAAAAATGGAGTTGTGCTTTCTGGTGAAGTCTGCTTTCCGGCAGTAGCCAGGAACCAAACCTGCCGTATAAGTGGGGCCCTATGGTACTAACAAAAGTACATTCCTTACAAATCCTTAAGGATTAATTCATGTTAGTACATGCAAGGTGTGTATTCAAGTTAGTTTACTAGCCTTGAGCTCTTGATTGCTTTCTCTTCTTTTGACTACCTGGCAGGAATTAGCTCTAATGTATTCATGTTTAAACCCTTATATGGAGTCAAGCATAGCTGTGATTATCAGTCTTAATTCATTCCACTGCTTTAATGAGGAAATTCTTCCTACCTTTGTGACTCAGTGGAATGCTTAGCTTTTATTCATACTGCATTGTTCAGGATTCCCTGTCAGTAGTCTATCAACCATCTGTGTAACCCAGAGTATTTGGAATATTGTGATCGTTACCTGTTGTTCTACATTGCTTCTGGGACAAGAGGTCATCATTATCAATGATTATACTCACCACCCTGTTAAGTCTGAATGAACTTGAAATTTGCCTTTACAAGTTCATCAATGATGCATGCCATAAGATGGAATACACATTTTTTTTTTTAACAAGTTGGCCGTCTCCCACCGAGGCAGGGTGACCCAATTATTATTATTATAATCAAAAAGAAGCGCTAAGCCACAAGGGCTATACAGTGCTGCAGGGTAGGGAGGAAGCGAGGGTATTGGAGGGCAGAAGGGAGGAGGGATGATCAGTAGGTTACAGAAAACAGCGGGGCAGGGGATAGTACGGGGGTAGAGGGTAGCAAGAGATTGAAGTAGAAAGGGCTGAAGGTATCAGAATTTGTTAAGTCAGTCAGTTGTTATCAAAAAGTCAATGAGAGAGTCCGGATGAAAGGTGGGTCCATCAGCGAGAAGGGAAGGTAAAGAGAGAGCAGCAGAGCGAAGAAGACGACGGAGGTAAATTCTGCGTGCTCGTTGATAAAGTGGGCAGTCCAACAGAATGTGGCTGACTGATAATAGAGCTTGGCAATTCTCAGAGAGAGGAGCAGGGTGCCTCTCCATGAGATATCCATGAGTAAGACGAGTATGGCCAATGCGAAGACGGGAGAGAGTAGTCTCCCAACCTTGACACTGGTGATAAGAAGACGGCCAGTAACCTATACTCGGTTTAATAGATTGAAGTTTGTTGCCGAGCATAGTAGACCAACGTTGTTGCCAACGAGTGTGAAGGTGGGAAGATATCGCAGCAAAATAGTCCGTAAATGGAATACCTCTATATGAAACTGGTAGGTCATGTACTGCTGACCGCGCAGCAGTGTCTGCCTGTTCATTGCCCTGTACGTCAACATGACCAGGGACCCAACAAAAAACAATATCTTTATGCTTGGTAAAGATGCGGAGTAGCCAAAGTTGGATACGGAGGACTAAGGGGTGAGATGTATCAAATTTCTGTATAGCCTGTAAAGCACTAAGGGAGTCTGAGACAACCATAAATGATGACACAGGCATAGATGCAATACGGATAAGTGCTGCAAGGATGGCATACAATTCAGCAGTAAAAATACTAGCCGAAGATAGCAAATGCCCTCGTACAACGCTGTCTGGAAACACTGCTGCGAATCCTACGCAGTCAGAAGACTTA